TAAAATATAGAAAAAATTTTGCAGTAACAGTAAAATATGTTTTTTTTAATAAATGCATGTATGTTTACAACACTACTTAGAATTTTAAAATTTGGCTTAAAATAAAGGTCATGCCAACATATTTTTCACTACCAACAAATGTAAGTCACATATGGGACTCACTGGGTAAAAAATTGTTAACAAGCTTGAACAATGGGAGTACAAGAAACTTTTGACACCGAAGAGTTACAAACACAGAAGGTAGTTTTCGTCTATGGTAAGGACAACATAAATAGTGTACAACGTCATGTAGGTAAAAGTAACATTTTATTAAAATTAATATATATATAATATTTTTTTTTGATTTATTTGCTAACAAAGTGGCTGAAGTCAAATGTAAAGGCCGAATATTTGATTTATCCTTGAATATCTTTTCAAAGTGTACTTTTTTTGATGTAATAATCATTGTAATATTATTATTTTAGTTGAAAGGGCTTCAAAAATTTACTGTATCCATTGTTGGGCTATTGTATCCTACTTGTACTATAGTCACTAAAGAAGAATTACCTTTACTTCCGCTATATACAGAAAAGACTTCTTCCTTTTTAGGTTGATGTCTGAACACTCAGATTCGTTATACAATACTTTGATAAAAAATCTTTGTGAAACAATTCTCCTATAAAGAAGAATATATGTATAGGAGTTGAGGAATCTCTAGGAATATATAGTGAATATATAGTATATCTTCCATATAAAATCTGCATTTATCATTTTCTAATAGTTTAAACAGCATTTTATGCCTGTTTAAAGTCGGAGACCAGTTATTGCTTAAATTGGTTATACTAGTTTTACTATAACTAGTTACGACCAGTTATATTCGTTTATAAATATGTTTATATTTAGAAGGAATTTACTTTCCTTCTCAGAATATTTTGGGAAAAGAGTTTGATGCAGTGAGATCTTCTTTTTTTTTTATTTGTGGTTGAACAGATTTATAAAGTCATATTTGCAGATTCCAGAGTTAGGTCCGACCAATATGACAGCCTTAGACAATTTATTTGACCACTTCGTCTGCCACTTTATTGCCGTCAAAACCACTATGTAAAGGTATCCAGTGTAAAATCACTTGATTTTTCGTAACAAGCTTTTGAAAGACATTAGCTATCTTCTAAATCAGTAGAGAGTTTGTTGAAGTCAAGCCTGAAGCATTAACGGCTGCCTGATTACCTGTTATAAAGATTATATTTTTGTGTCTAAGGTTTTCTGATAATATTTTCGTATGTTTGTTGTAGAGTTTCATAACATAGATTTCAGCTTGGAATATTGAAACTATTATACTTTGGGATTCAGTCAGTTACGGCGAAAAGAAAAACAAAAATTTATGAAACTACGTATTTTCAACTCAAACGTAAAATCAGTTTTGCTGTACGACTGCTAGACTTCGAAATAGACTAAGTCTATTTAGTTGCACATTCAAGTCTTTGCCAATAAGTGCCTAATACGCATATTCAAGATATGGTATTCAAAACGAATTTCCAAAGAAGAATTGTAGAGAAATCCAATAGATGGAAACCCAAGATAAGCGCCGACCGATTGCGTGATTAAAAATGTGGAGAAGAACAATTGATGCAGAACTTGCCGCTACATATTATATGTGGAACGATATCTGTCAAGTTCCTGAAAACAGAATAAGTTTCAAAGGAGTTGAGGAGGTCTTAAGCTCCACGAGCAGTTAACGGAACCAAAAAGAAGATTAAACTTAGACTGATGAACTTAATTAAGATCAGATATTAAAAACATCTTTATTACAAAATGGGTTTACTTATAAAAATATTTATGTTTTAATGAAATACAATTTAAAACAACAGTGCTTATAATTTCTATAATATATATAACTATAACTAAAATGAAATCATATCAGTTATGATATATATTCCATCACTTATGCACATTTAGAAACTAATTTACTTGCAGTTTAAAAAATTTATTTACGAATAATTAAACACAAGAATTATTCAATTAATTCAATTAACTAATATAATATAAAATTAATTTTTGTTGTTGTAGTTCACTACTGTTGGAAAAACCTCTTTATGAAACTAATTTAAATTAATTATGTATATTAAAAAAGTAATATCCACAGTGCCAACTAACTGTACTTAAAAACATAATAAAAATATACATATATCGATGAATTCCTATAGAAACTTTTATATTCAATTCATATTTAAACTCCACCGAAAACTATTTGGTAGGACACTAAATAAGTCTTTAAATTTATAGATAGATACCATAATGTCATACTGATAGTTAATGTACTGTAGGAGTAAAGTTTCTTTCTTAGCATACTTCACATTTTAATTTTTAAAACTAATTAGATTCATTGACTTTTCATTACTTAAGTTAATGATTCTTTGAGTATTTAAATATAAAATTCCTTATTACTCATTAAAATCTAGTTGAAAACATTCCATTGGAATCTTCTATTAACACTTACATTGTTGTCGGAAAATTTTTTTGAAAAATGTTACTAACCTCTTAACGAGCGCCATCAGTGTTTAAAGTGCATATGAGTCCTCATAATCGACTTATTTTATGAGTTGTTTTCCACTCGTTCTCGTATTGCTTATCCAGTGCACTTTTTATGCCTTTTCCACTCATATTCCTTTCACAAGCTCAAGTTACACTTAATGCACTTTTGCTCAATACAAAAGAAAGTGACAATAAAAAAATTACAAAGCAAATTGTGCTGAAAGGATATAAAAGGATAAAAAAGCGTGCTCTTACGCTTAGCATTTACATTTTTTTTTGTTTTGTTGCTAGCAAAAGCGTCAATTCATTATTTTAACTATCTCCGCTATTCCATGGTCGTTTTATTGTTTTTGTTTACGTTGTTGTTTGTCTGGTGACTTTTAGTTGCTCCATTTCATGTTGTTTTTGTTTTTGTTACACAGTGTAACTACTTTGTGTTGAACTGCAGACACGACATTTTTTTTTTTTGTTTTGTTTTTGTCGCTCTCACTTGTCTTCTTCTTCTTCGTTTCGCTATTGTGTTTTAATAATCCAATTTCACGTGTTGATTTACTTGATATGACACTTGAGTGCTTTGACTGATGGCTCAAACATTGTTCGAGCAGTTGTTGCTATTATTATTTTTGAGCTTAAATTTATGACCATCACTGCATGATTTGACAATGTTTCGTTTTACTTTTTACTTCATTTACTTTTTATTTTCTTTTTTTTCTGTTTTTTTTTCATAAAATCAACTACCTTACATTGATAAATTATTGTGTACACTCGTGCGTATGAGTAACATTTGATTTATCTGTAATGTACATCAAATGTCGTGTTGAGTAAAATTTTTAGAAAAAATAAAAGCAAAAAAATTAAATTTGTGCAAAATGAATAAAATTTAATTTAAAACAAACAAAATTTGTTTTAAATTTTATTATATTTTTTTTAAATATTTACATAAATTTATATTAAATTTATTGTATATAAAATGGCTGATGAATTTGTTTCTATTTTATCTTTGAATTTTTTATTTATTTTTCATGTGAAATGACTGATGTTATATAAAATTCAGAAAATTGGTTTATTATAGAACACTACAAATAATAAAAAATAAATATTTAACACGTAATTTGTGCAGGAATTTTCTATATTTTATTTAAAATTTTTTTTTCCGTGTTTTCATGCAAAATTCTTTTTTTTTGCTGACTTCTTTTATATGAAATTCAGAAAATAAATTTATTATAGTAATTAAAAAAATAAAATAAAAAAAAATTAAAGTAATTTGTGCAAAAATTTTATTTCTTATTTAAAATTTTTGTTTTTTATTTACATACAAAATGATATTTGTGCGTTTATTAAAATTCAGAAAATTAGTTAATAGTAAATAAAAAGTTATAAAAAATATTACATATTTAACATAATATTTGTGCATATATTTTTATATTTAAATTGCTATTTAAATATAAAATATTTAAAATTTTTTAAGCGTATAATATAAAAATAAAAAAAAATTGCTTATAGCAGATAAAAATTAAAAAAAAAAGATTTATGAGTAAATAAAATTTTCTTATTTCTATTTTTATGTTATTATATAAAAAGTTATAAAAAATATTACATATTTAACATAATATTTGTGCATATATTTTTATATTTAAATTGCTATTTAAATATAAAATATTTAAAATTTTTTAAGCGTATAATATGAAAATAAAAAAAAATTGCTTATAGTAGATAAAAATTAAAAAAAAAATGATTTATGAGTAAATAAAATTTTCTTATTTCTATTTTTATGTTATTATCTATATATATAAAATAATTTGAAATTACAAATATGATAAACTCAAAAATAACTAAACAAATATTGTTGTCAATATACCATCGAATCCACGTGTCCTGTGGAACAAATATAAGGATAACATGTCAGAAGACATTTTACATAGAATTCGTGTCAGTTCAAGAAATCCCGATCTTGAGGAGAATGATGAAATGCATAATCAGGCTTTGCTCTTGATCGAAGACATATGTTACCATACCTGCGGTAGTTTGTTAGTCAGATTAGGAATGCCAGCTCCTGATCGTGGAATAAATAACGCATTTAATCGAGAATTGAAACGTGAACGTGGATATGATCGACATGAATTAGACCAATCAGTTCAAACTAATGTACCTCTATTGAATCCGCAACAGAAGAAAGTTTAACATTAATGAAAGCGATTGATGAAGAAAATGGTGGCTTTTTTTCCTGGACGCCCCCGGTGGGACTGGTAAAACATTCCTCATGTCATTAATTTTGGATACTGTTCGTGCGATATTCCGACATTGCGGTAGCAGTTGCTTCTTCTGGAATAGCGGCTACATTGTTAGAAGGATGCCGTACGGCTCATTCAGCGTTAAAATTGCCGTTAAACCTTCAAACTACCGAGCAACCGATATGTAATATTGCGAAGCATTCTGCAATGGCTAAAGTTTTAGTAGCATCTAAAATCATCATCTGGGACGAATGCACAATGGCGCACAAACGCGCATTAGAAGCACTTGACAACACATTGAAAGATCTTCACAATGACTCGAGATGTTTTGGAGGCGCAATGATTTTACTGTCTGGCGGTTTTCGCCAAACACTTCCAGTCATTCCAAAATCGACTGCTGTCGACGAAATAAATGCTTGCCTTAAATCATCAAATCTTTGGCGCTATGTGAAGAAACTTCAGCTGGTAACAAACATGAGAGTTGCATTGGTAAACGATACATCTGCTGAAGAGTTCTCCAAGCAATTGCTGTTAATCGGTAATGGCCGTGTAGCTGTTGAAGAATCGAGCGGATTAATTGCATTTCCTTCAAATTTTTGCAATTTCGTCTCATCAAAAGACGAACTCATCAATGAAGTATTTCCGAACATCATTGATAATCATAAAAACAAAAAATGGTTGAGTGAGCGAGCAATTTTGGCACCTAAGAACAAACATGTGAATGACTTAAGCTTTGTAATTCAAAATCAAATCGTTGGTACTCTGCATACATTCAAATCTATTGACTGTGTAACAAACGAAGAAGAAGCTACCAACTATCCAACTGAATTTTTGAACTCCTTGGATGTGCCTGACTTACCACCGCACAATTTACAATTAAAGATTGGTTCGGTAGTCATTGTGCTTCGAAATCTAAACCAACCAAAACTATGCAATGGAACGCGTTTAGTGATAACAAAACTGATGGCCAATGTGATTCACGCAATGATACTCAAAGGAAAATTCAAAAGTGATGAAGTTCTCATTCCGAGGATTCCGAGGATTCCAATGATCTCAATCGATATGCCCTTTGAGTTTAAACGAATTCAATTTCCTATTCGGCTTGCATTCGAAATGACTATAAGTTCTTGCTGACAGACCATTAAAATAATTAATTATGTATCAATATCCTAATAAACTATTGAATACAACAAATTTTTTGTATTCATTTTATTACGTTAATAAATATCTAAATTTAGTTTACCTATAATTTAATATAACATTTATTGACTGTTACGCGGTACGAAGTTCGCGGGGTCACCTAGTATACATATATATAAAATAATGAAATTTATGCATGATCAATTTTATATTTTTCTAATAATTTATAAATAAAATTATTTTTGTAGGCAGACTAGTTTTAAATGAAATACAGCAGGTTTATTTATAAGAAATATCATAGATTAGAATCTATAACAGAGCTAATATTATCAAAAAAAAAAACCAATAATATAAAAACATAGAAAAGCCTACATGAGTTTTAAAAAGCAAAAAATTATGGTTAATTTTTTTCAATCTACAGAAATTCTGTTAAGCAAAAACTTAAATTACGAGATGTGATTGATTATATTTTGGTGTGAACACTTAAAACCTTTTCTATGAATGCAACAAAATATAAATAAAATAATTTAATAAAAAATATATTTCATTACTAACCCATAGTCGTGGGGCGTACGCCTACAGGGACTGTTTTAATTCTCAAGGGAGAAATTTGAATTTACATGTAAATTAACATTATTTGTTTTGAAAAAACAGTAACCGGGACCTCTTCTCGTTTCTCGAAACTTCACTAAGTAGTATTGTGGTATACAAGCATTACATTAAGGGAATATTGAAATTTTTTAAAGGTTTATGAGTGACGTTTTATACTAAAGGTTGAGAAATATTGAAGGAGGGGATCTAATTTTACAAATTCTAAATAAATAACATACTTGCATAGCTGATCTAAATGCTACATAACACAGCTGAACTAATATAATAGAAAGAGATATAGCATCATAACATATCAATTGTAAATGAATATTTTTTATCATAGCATGAATCAAAAACAGAACCCGCAAACGAAACATTCATTCTATCAGGTTGGAAAAAGTGAATCATCTGATTAATTTAATATTCAGTAGAATATGACAGCGTAAGAAAAAAAAGAGAGAAATTTTGACGATCATGTAACCAGAGGGTGGGAGCATATACTTGATGAAGGCGCGTATGCAGCAGTGGCGCGTGGAGAGATATGCTGCGTTAGGCCAAAACCCAGTAATGGATTGTTATGACAACATTAATAAGTAAGTAAGTGACCAAAGGTCAAAATCATCTAGACCATTGGCAAATAATAACGAAGTAAAAATAAAACAGTTACTAAAGCAGTTCATAGAACTGCTTCCATTTTTAAAAAATGGAAGTAACTCTTGGACAAAGAAATTGTAAATTTTAACAACTATTAAGTCTGAAAAAGAGATGATAGAGTATGTGATGATATTAATAATTAACGTAATTAAATTTCTTCCGATATGGTACTGGTTTGTACAACAAATATATATAACGCATATCTATAGCATATGGGAGTTGAAAAAATTCATCAAAACCACTCTATTATATATTCATTAAAATAAACTTTCGAAACTGATGTTCCATGAGTTCATTTCTTCTTGTTAATAAGGTAATTGAAACGGTCACTCTCATTAGAAGAAAGTAGTGAATTTCACCAACATGTTATCAGAAGAATAAAGTGTATTCAAAAAATATTATTTTTCTGAACTATACCTGCTTAGAGTGGTATAAAAAAATACCACTCTTTAGGTGTACATGCTTGACTTTAAATGTACAAAGTCAAGCATGCAGAAGTTTTCACTCTTCACTCTTCACACTCTTAAAACTGGAACGACCTACACTTTTTTTGTATATTCTATATAAAAAATATACGAAATAAATTCACAGAAATTAATCAATCCACCATTTTCTTTGTCGTTTTCAAATTAAGCCCTATCGAATGTAATATATTCAAAGGATGATTAAGGTATGATCCTCAACTTTTTTAGCAATTTATATTTTATGTGTCTAATTGATATGAAAAGGTGTTGATTTAAATGGTTATTTCGAGCTTTTGAACTAAATATTTTTTATTCCGATGTTCAACACATTTTAATTAAAATATATATATATATATATCGGTTCACTTCCCATTTTAACAGTTCTTTTCGGTTTTTGGTTCTATTCTTATTGCTTATTTTTATTTATTTTCTTATTTCTATTTATTTATCATTATTTAATTATTATTTTTTATAATTTAATTATATTTTTATTTATTTATTTTTTTATGATACCACCTGCTTTGTTAAGTCTTTCCAAAAGTCATTTTCAATTCATGTAATAAAGAACAAACTTATATTGTTATATATAAAATTCCTTTTGAATTTTAAATATTTACGGTGCTATAACAAAATAAATCAATATACTTTTTATGATTCTGTTTCGGCTTTAAGCAGACCAAGTTAGGCAAACCATTAAATCTAATCATACTTTCGAGAAAAAAGTCACTAGAGAAATAATGTACTAGAGTCCACGTTAGGTGACTTCCCATGCTTCGTCGATCGTTCACATTCGTTGAGTTTCATTGCTGAACACTGAGAAATATAATAACAACAGCTCATGGATAACAGATCTCGCTCAAATTTAATATGATAATATGTATAATATTAGTAGTACGCCAAAAAATAATCAAAATGCTATGGTAAATTGAAAATAGAGATATTCTTAAAGATCTATAAGTTGATAAGATTAAAAAGAGCATTAAAGATAATTTAATGTAGTTTTTCGATATGAAATACGCTCAACAATTATCACAATATTCTTCTAAATCTAGTCATCTAAACTAAGCAAGAATTGGCCTATAAGAAGAAATAAAAGTTCTGAATAATATAAGCTCTAAATTAATACTCAACAAAGTTAATTCTGAAGCATATCGAAACATTTATAAAAACATTTTCATAAAAATTTTTAAAAAATATTTGAAGAAAACTTACTAAATAAATAAAAATAATTTTATTTATTACGAAAAATTCATTTTAAATAAACAAATAACTTTTTGGGAAGTAAAAATTTTAATACAAGGTTTATCTATTCTAAAGTTTTGACATAATTTCTTATTAATAACTGCAAAAACCGACAATTAGTCCCTAAATTGTCTGTGAAGTTGAAAAGTGTGAGTTCCATTGCAACCGCAGCACAGCACCAGCAAAAGTGCCTTGAACTTTGCAAGGAAAAGTTTTGTGTTTCCCCCATTTTTCAATTGCTGGCAAGCAAACGATGGAGAGCAAATATTTCCAAAATGTCTGCTTTGGCTACATTCAAAACGTCTAAAACTGTTGACTCAATTAATTATGAGCATTTGTTGCTTTTAAATTTATATTTTATTACCAAATAATAAACCGTCGAACTCCATTATTTTAATGCACGGCTGGCTGCCAGCATATGGCCTTCTAAATATTTTTCATTTCATTTTTTTTTATTATTTTTTGTTCATTGCGTCCAGTGATTTAAAAAACAACATTTTTATGTGAATAAATTGTAATTTTTTTGTATAAAATTTGTTTATGTAAATTGTGTTGTTAAATTTTAAATTTAATTTTAATTTTTGATTTTTTTAATTTTATAGTCAAGTAATATCAACCATTTATGGATGAAGTTACAATACATTTTTGTGCAAGTTTCTAATCGATTGTCTTAAAAATAGTGAGAATATGCAGTAGTAAAATGTTTTATTTTGTCAAGTTGGTAAATAATATAGTATACACAACCTATACCAGATCTGATGAGACTAGTCTCAACAAACAGTAAGAAGCTTTTGTTAGTTGGTTTTTGAACTCAACATCCCCGCGATCTGAACATCCCCATTGTACTATTATATTACTTACGTACACTGATTGAGTATTTTGTAGTTACTGATTTTATTTAAAACAATGTTCTGTATTTATACAAATTATCTTAAGACTAATTTTACATCAAGGTTAAAATAATATGATTTTAATGGACTGTATTACAATTTTTTTATTGTTTGCAAAAAAAAGTTAAAAAAGGACGGAAGTCCCAACACTAGTGATATACCTCCTATTGTTTTTACGAATATATTTTATTACATATGGATGCTCAAAAATGTTACTATTAGTACATTATTCTGAGAATTGAGGTGATAATGGATTTACAATAATAATTCATGTTCATGATTGAACACCCATAGTTAAGAATGTTATTAAAAGCCAAGCCGGAAATCACAAAAAACGTATGTTATATCATCCCAACCACTTTATTAGTAGAATTATAGCAGAAGGAAAAATGTTCACACAAACAAAATGCAAACAACGCCACTGGAACTTTAATCTGTGACTGACTTCACCAAACGGATGTGCTACTGAGTATAGTGCATTCAAACCCCAAAAACAGACAGATCGCAATAAAAGAAAAATTATAAAAAAAAATTTTTTTTGTTTATTCAAAATAATTTTATTAGGAATCAACTAAACTTTAGAAGCATTCAAAATTTTTTTATTTAGAATCAATTCAACTTTAGAAGCATTTAACGGACTTTTCGAAACATCCGTTTCTACACTTTGTAGAAATTGTCCTTAGTATGTCAGTCGAAATCTTTTGAATAATGAGGATGAAATCTTTTGGAATTATTCACTTTATTGGTAAGTTTTTGCATTGAGATCAGTTAAAAGTTGCATTGAGCTACATTCGGTGAATGCGTTAGGCGATCGATAAACAGAGTTGTTTTGGTCAAGAGTTCAAGTACCGCTGTAATGTTGTATGTTGCTGCCACACAAAATAACTGTCAGGTTTTCGATATTTCCATTAAACTTGTGGTAAAATTCTCTTAATATCGGATTGTAAAATCTTGATTGTCTCTTCCGAAAGTATAATTTTCTCTCTCTTAGTTCTAATGGTGACTTACAATCACGGTTGCCATTTGAAAATTTTTTCTTGTACCAAAATTGGTTTAAAAAGGTACCATTTCTGTAAAAAAAGGTCCAAAATTTTTTTAGGACCTTTTTGTTTTTTCGTTCTGTGTTTTTTATAGTGTTATAAATGAACACAAT